CCATGCTTACAGCCAATGGAAAACCTAGTGATCTTCTATAAACATTAAACAAGTATATTATCCTTCATATGCATACAGCAGCCTACTACAACATATGTGATCTAAAGTAACATTATTACCATGCCACTGTGTCCATTAATATGTCAATGTTTGTATCATGTCATATTTTTATCCAAATTCTTATTTATCTTCATTTGTAGTGAAAGTTCACAAAAAAAGTGATTTTCTTCAGTAGAACAAAAATAAGGTATTTAATAATTGTATATAAGAAGATACAAGAATAATGTTTCAGCTGTTTTGTGTGCAGTAAAAAAAAAAACGTTTCATTTGTTCATGAAGTGAGCATTACTAAACAAAACACAAAAAGCTAAATCTTAAAAAGTTAAAAGCAGCTTAAAAGTGTGTTGTTTCTGCCTGAGTAATTGTTCAACTCCTCTTTCTTGTCCACCCAAAGACGAAATTCTTTCCTCCATGTTTTCTTTACTACTGGATAAACAAAGACAAAACAGACAGTCAGCAACAAAGCTGACCACAGCTTGGCAACACTGTGGTAAATCCCTCTGTGAAAACATGTACATTTCACAGCCTATAGCCTGGGTGGAGACAGTGTTTTGCCACCTCAGACCCTGTCCTGGGGTCAGACAGCATGGCAGCTGGACAGATCACAGAAATCCACTTATTTGGACACTAACACTCACACCCTGCACGATCGTTTGTGGTCATGACTCAAGCCTGTAAAGGGATGGTTCACCCAAAAATGAAAATTCTGTCATCATTCTCGTCATTCCAAACCTGTATGATTTCCTTTCTTCTGTGGAACATAAAAAAAGATATTTTGAAAAATGTCTCAGTGATTTCTTTCTCAATACAATGAAAGTCAATAGGGTTTATTATCCCTTTAAGCAATTAGCTGCGGTCTCTATATATTATCACTTCCTATAACCATCTAAAATACTGCAAACTCAGAGACAAGGGTGAAAATATAACAAGCTAAACAGATGTTCGCTGAAATTCCCAGCATGAGTCTTTAGTGCCTGCTTGTGTGCACATGGTTACAACATCAAGCCACAATTGACTGAGTTTGAACTCTTTATTTCCAGTGCGCCCTGGAGAGGGAGGAGCTCAAAAACAAAAGAGATCTGCTGAAAATACACTCTTGACAGTGCTAGACGGAGCAAGAAATCTGTGCTTTGCAAAGCGGAGTGACTCAGAGTCTAGACACTTCAAACCACACTCACAATCCTCAGCTAGCAGCGAACACAGTGGGACGTGATTGAGGGAGCTTCAATTATAGAAGCGCAGTTCATTATGTGCCATGATAGGCAAAATGTAAATGTCTCGTTTAAATGAATGGGCAAATTTGTTGCTTGTCATACAAATTAAGCATTATGATATAGGCTAGATGAAAAAAATCACATGATACGAATGCCACACAAATGTCCCCTTGCCAAATGAGTGCTTTAGGCCTGGCTGCAGGTCAGTATTGTTCCTGTTAACAAACTATTAAAATGAGTTTTGTTAATTGATATAAAGCTAACAATAAACTGTAAATATTAGATGAATTACAAAACTTAGACTTACAAAACTAAAATGAAAATGTGTACTAAAAACCGAAATAAATATAAATGAAAGCTAAATATAAATCTTAAAGGGGTCCTATTATGCTTTTTCACTTCAACTTCAACTTTAGTTAGTCTGTAATGTTGCTGTTTGAGCATAAAAAAGATCTGCAAAGTTACAAAGCTTAAAGTCCACTTCAAAAGGAGATATTTTATTTAACAGAAATCACTTTTCAAAAACTACAACAAACGAATCGCTTGGACTACAACGCATATTTTCCGGGATTTGTGATATCACAAATATCGACGAATGGGACGAGACTGAGCTGCACTAGAGAAGGCAACGAGTGTTATCACTATGTCGGAGACATGCTAGCCTTCCCAAGGCAGACGAACTTAGAGTGGTTACAATCATCCGGGTTTAAATCGCGCTCAAATTGATTTGATTTTGACGCAATATTTACACTGAAGCTCGCAGGCGGTTATGGTAAGGGGCATATTTCCCGACCAGGCGCCGAGTGCTGCCAATCACAACACACACTGGCCCAGCTAACCAATCACAGCACACACTGGCCCAGCTAACCAATCACAGCACACACTGGCCCAGCTAACCAATCACAGCACACACTGGCCCAGCTAACCAATCACAGCACACACTGGCCCAGCTAACCAATCACAGCACACACTGGCCCAGCTAACCAATCACAGCACACACTGGCCCAGCTAACCAATCACAGCACACACTGGCCCAGCTAACCAATCACAGCACACACTGGCCCAGCTAACCAATCACAGCACACACTGGCCCAGCTAACCAATCACAGCACACACTGGCCCAGCTAACCAATCACAGCACACACTGGCCCAGCTAACCAATCACAGCACACACTGGCCCAGCTAACCAATCACAGCACACACTGGCCCAGCTAACCAATCACAACACATTTCGTATTTCGCCTTCATTTGATACAGGAACTATTCGAGCCTTTCATGCCAGACTGGGGAGAGAGGTGTCGTAATAATGTAAAATATATGAAAAATAATGTGTTTTTCGAACAACCTAGTATGAGAGCCTGTTCTAATACACCCCCAAAACAAAATCAAGACTTTGTAAAAGAGCATAATAGGACCCCTTTAAAAAGAAAAAAACTCTCTCTCAGCTTGCTTCCATCAGGCATCAAATATAAAAAAAAGACAAAAACATATAACAAAATTACTGAAACTTTCAAATTAAATATAAAATAAAATAAATTAATTAAAATGCAATTAAAATGATGCAAGGGGTGTTACTGAAACTGCTTTATAGCTTGATAAAAATCATGACTAGCAGTTGACAACTGGAGATAAAGTTATTAGAGTTGATTGTTTGTGGGGAAAATAGGATGTTCAAGCACTCTTTCTGATGTCTTTTAGTAGATTTATGGACAAAAAAATATTTAAGAATAATAAAACTCGGTGTTTGTAAAGAACATATTAAGTGAAGATTCAATGACTCACTCAAGACACACAAAATGAGTTCTTAATAGCATACTGCATACTACTAGCACACTTCATATCGTTATGAAGTAAGAAAGTAGCAAGAAATAGCAAGACTTTGCTATTCCGAATTTTGTTTTTGTTTTTTGACTTGTGGCCAGCCACCTACTGGCGATGTAGCCTGCGTCACTGAATGAATCTTTGTAGTAACTGATTCAAAAGATTCGAATCGTTTAAATGAATCAAACTGAGACACACACCAGGATACGTAGTATCGCATTATTGATCAGAGTGGCTTTTCCAAAAGAACATGTGCATTTGCACACGACACATTTACTGTTAATCAATCCAAGCCGACAAATAACAGGTGTGACTGTTTTGCATCAATCCATCGCATAGCAACATGCCACGGAAGATCCCACTGAAATCCCACACGCGACGCTTTCATCAGCAAGAACTACATGCTGGATGAATGAGACGTGAATAAGAGAACGTGAACGCTGGTTTTCAATGACAGGATATTTTCATACAAGCATTCAGCACAACACCAAAAAGGTGTTTTAACAGGACAGCAGGCAGATTCCTCCTCATGCGTCCCTGCATTTTAGGGAGCATATTCGCAGTCTGCCATATCCAGCCCATATATAAATCTAGTGGTACTCATATTTCATATATTACTCCCTTTAAAGCTTGTCTGTTCGAGAAAACGCGACGTTTAAGAGAGGATAACGTGAGAAAAGACCATGCACACGGACCTGCGATGCCAATTAATATTCATCCGCGCTCCTCAGTCACATCTTGCAGATCACATCCTCCCCTTCATGCAAAACACATACAGGGTCCCTGCGTCGCGCCGGAACGATATTATAACAACATCTCTCACAATTCAGCATTCACCCCAGTTATCCACAGTAAAGCGCTGTCACACCTCTGGAACAAGACTGGCAAACAGGGAAGAGCAACACGCATCCACTTGTCTGATTAACTCTTTCAGTCTCGCCCATTTATATAGACACAACTGACAAACTACATACAGTGTGTCTGAACTGAGGTTTGCGTTGCTTTCTAGGATGTTAACAGTCTGATTGCAATGGAAATCAACGGGGAAAAAATACACGTCCACATTCCAGTGAACGACTTTTCATGAGCAATTAATTAACTGTTTAGGTAATTAAATATATTTTTATATTTCAAAATATTTAATGATATGTTATTGTGTCTTAGTAACGACATACTGAAAAACAAATTTTAAGTTCAACTTTGCACGAACTGAATTCAGAAGTGCAGTTATACCGTGTTATGGCGCCCCCTTTGGCGCATGTGTGTATTGCATATTTGATCCATGATACCGCAGGAGAAAATTTACATGTGGATGCTGCAGCAACTGTGTGGTAAGGCGAATTTTCGTTAATCCAACATCAGTGAGGCTTTTTTAATCTATCATTTAAATTATGTTATTGAATAAGGCAAAACACTACAGGCAAAAATATATATATTTTTTTGTTTTTTTTTAGATTTTGCTTCCATATGTCTTTATTTCAAACTAGTGGAAAGAAAACAATCCAAAATATATATTTAACTGTTTATTTTATTGCACTTTATCTATTTGTGCACGTTGATTACGATTATAATACCCAGCAGCTATCCAGCTAAAGGCAGTTATCTCAAAATAAGTTTTTTTTCTTCTCATGCAGTGAGACAGAAATCTCCTCTTCAGTATTACTTATGCCAAACATTCCTATTTTTCTCCCCATTTATTTCTCATTATGAAGTTTTTAACTTAGGAGTTTGTTCACATATAATTTTCACAGATTTATATGACATTTTATTCCTAGATTTATTGATTTTTTCCAGACGGTTGACATTTTTTTTATTTGAGTGATGGAGAGAGATCCAGAATCCTCCCTCTGTAAAAATCTCTAATATAGCAACAAAATTAAAAGAATAATTTTCAACCTGGATTTATCCACTGTTCAAAATTCTGTTTGAAATGCATGTAAATTACATGATTAGATAATGCCTTGTTTTGGATATTTAAACATTGGAGAAAACTTGTTATACAAAATGTAATGTACTGTGATTAATTAACTGGCAAAGCATGGCGATATCTATTGCCTTGAGCACATAATGGTCGTCCAACAGATAATATGATTTATTAAATAAACAGAATTCTGATTATTTATATGAAAGCACATACAATAATTCAAAGTGTTTTGTAATGAAGGAAACAGAAATTACGAAAAGCAAAAGACATGTTTATAAAAAAAACATTCTCACTATATTTTATCTAATTTCTCTGCCGCCACTTGCATTATGTACAAAATTGTCTATCCAAAATGAGAGCAACCTCATCCCATATCATACAGCAAATATTAAATCTTTTAACAAACATGGATCTTCCATCTGATTAATGCATTCTGAAAAATCCCCCCTGAGAAGTACATAAGCATTAACACATATAAAGATATCATTGGTGTGAGGAATTAATCCACAATGGACGTGAAGCACTATTAAAACTTTAGTGCAAGGCAAGATGTACAGTTAAACTGCTGAATGTTTCATTGTGTAAAACATGCCCATTCACTACCTCATTTATATGACCAGAATTCAATGTGCATCCTTGGCCATAGTAGGTACCAAATTGCATCACATACTCTAGGGTCAAAAAACATCTTTATGTTTAGTGGTCACTCATTCAAGGGATAGTTCACACAAAAATGAAAACTGAGTCATTATTTACTTAGCCTGGTGCTGTTCTTTTGTTGTCCAAAACAAGAAAGAAGGGCATACGGCAATATAACAGCACCAGTTATAACAACTATCCCGTTAATGTGGGAAGTAATGTTAGTCCTTATTTGTGGTTTAAAGTAACCAAAAATTGATTCAGCAGTCAATGTAATGGTAGCATCCATCTAAAAAAAAAAAAAAATCAAACTGTGCTCTAATATTTTAATATTAGAGTATAAAGATATTCTAGAATAGTTCAAAATCAGAAAATAGGAGATGTATTACTTTAAGACCAACTCCCTTGTGCTGAATAGTCTCTTTATACCCTTTGTACAGCTTTGCATTTTTCACAGCGTTCTGTTTCTGAAAAAATGAGGAAGTCACAGGTAGCCGCCCGCTCAGGAAACACAGGATCTGACCCATTCGTTGAATTTTTGTGCCCTGAGCCCTGGCAGACAGAGTACCTTTCTAGGTCCTCGAGGAGGGCAACAATCTCTTTTGTTGTGGTGAGACGAGACGGGTGGCTGTCGTAGACTCTGTGGGTGGGCAGGAGAGGCTGTCCCTGGATGCTGATGTGGTAGTGGAAGCTGGGCTCAATATGAATAGTGGTGTCTGCCATAGTGGAGCGCTTGGAGCACTGCATCAGCTGTAACCGAGGGCCTTCCACCACAACGCAGAACCAGAGGACAGGAAGTACCATGCTGTGAAGAGACCTCAGGAGAGGCATCAGTTCATGATTGATGTCGATGCCTTGGATTGTGGGGTCACTGTCTGCCATGCTGAATATCTGAGTGATCTGCAAAAGGCAGAAGTACAGTCATTGATTTTCCAATCTTCAAACTTCCATATCATACACCATATTCCTAAAACGGCTTCTTACCGACGGACAAGATACGTCCTCCTGTTGCTCTTCTTGACATGGCTCCTGACCTGCCGAACCTTGTGATCGATTCCCTTCCCTCAAACTCTCCCCAGCACAGTTTGGTGGAATTGCCATAGGAAGAACCTCTGGTCTCTATAAATAAATGGGTAGGGGAAATAAAGCAGGTTAATTAGACCAAACAAACAAAGACAAAAATTAATAGACTGATAATGTGTGCTGAAACCGATGTTTAACAAAATGTATTTTTATTGGGCAGACCCTTGAGCCACCTGAACAGAAACATACAGTATGTAATATTTATGAAGAAATAAAAAAAAAAAAATAGCATATAGTATAATTTTTATATTACATATATATATATATATATATATATATATTACTTAATTACTTACTTAACTGCATATATCATTTTATATATATAATGATATATGCAGTTTAAAAAAAAAGTAATCTTGTGAATTAAAAATAATTTACGATTTAAAATAACTTTGAAAAATAACTCCCGTGGTGGCAAACTGAATTTTCAGCAGCCATTACTCCAGTCTTCAGTGTCACATGATCTTTAAGTAGAAAGTTCAAAAGAATAGCATTTGTTTGAAATAGAGATCTTTTGTAACATTGTAAATATATTTACTGTCACTTTTGATCAATTTATTGCATCCTTGCTGAATAAAAGTATTAATTTCTTTAAAAAAGTTATTTATTTTTTATATATGTTACAAATATTTAGTTATTTAATTTAATACATTATCTAAAGGCCATGCATTACTGTTATTTTTGGACTTGTTTTCTCAAGATAATGTGAAAGAAAACTTTTATTTTATTGTCAAGACAACCAAAACTCAATGTAATTACTGAAACACTGCCTACTCATTCAGCTTTGAAGACGACAGTCTGCCTTCTCCACCTTATTTTTTCCTCTCTGCATGGGAATAACATCAGAAGCGTACGACTATGCATGCACACTGTTTAGAACAAACACTGATTGGTAGGTACAATCCTGAATTTATTTCTAATTCTTTCACCACCCAACCAAAGGTAAGACAGCCCCTCATATGAACTTATGTTTTTATTTCCCACTTGCTAATCTTTGTTTGTTTTTATTTGTTTAAGCTTAAGACAGAGAAGCATAAGGCGCTTACTGCAGACAGAAGGGCTCTGCTGCTCATGCCACTGCCTTGAAGCCTATTTTCTTTGATCATCTCCACCCGTCCTATGTGCAACTGAGGGCTCATCTTCTCAAGAGACAGGGATGACACAAACGAGATATGAACATATTTAGATAGCTCTGTTCAAATAATAAGAATGCAACAAACACATTCTGGCAACCAAATAAGCTTATGTATGACTAGGGAAAATTGCTCTGGGATTCATTTTTGGAATCATCATGACTTGATTTATATTATATGGGCATTATATTAATTTTTATGGTGAGAACATACCCAAACTTTTCGTGGATTGCAGAGTGGGATGTTGTTCATCAAATAACTGTTAGCAACATCAGTATAACCATAAGCCTAAATCAACAAGAATAAAACCCAGGAAAAAAATTACTGAAAGCTAACAAGAAAAGGTAAAACATCCTTTAAGGACTCCACTGGAATACCTTTCCATTGTAATTGGGATGAAGGAGCCTGTCCCGATTCACCACCTGGGCAACACCTGAGGAAGCCTTTGGCACATACGCTTCAGCCTCATTATCTGAAACCTCGAAATCCCACAACTTTTTGGACCTTGGTCTACTACGTCCATATGTGTAACGTGGCCTTCCGTGTGTAACCCAGCCCTGAGAAAAAAGCATCTCCGCCTCATCCATGGGCAGCAAATGCTTCTGTTAAACACAAACATTGAGACAAGATTATAATTTATTTTTGAACAATCTTAATCAATCATGAGGGATTTAACTGTTCCGATTTCACTAAACTACATTATTCATACACATTACCAAAATGCACAAAGTATCCGTACTATTTTTTTGGTTAGATTAATTAGAAAGAACAAGCTTATAAAAGTCATTGACAATGAATCAGTTAAAAATAATTTTAATAACAAACATGTTATATAATACATATAAATGAGTATTATTATATGAACCAAAAGAAAAAGAGAAAATAATCCTAGATCTAGTAGACAACTAAAGGTTTCAAAATAATGCACCATGCAACAACATTGTAATTCATAAAAAAAAAAAAAAAAAAGTTCAAATAATACAGTTGAAATTATATTTTGGAAGCCCACCATAGCCTCTCTTTGGCACTGTCGTAGACGGCATTTCTGTCTTTTTTTATTTCTGCCTCCAAACTTGGGTTTGTCCATGCAAAAATCACAGGTTCCACAGTCTGTACGGCGAACGCAGCCTTTACACTTCCCACATGAACGACGACGTACCTTTGGTACACCCATCTGCAAATCAAGAGAACAAAAATCACTATTTGAAGAGTATTAAGGACACTATGTCTCTGATTAAATATTTGCAGCTTAAGCCTGTAGCATGACAGTTTCTTTAAAATGCAATGTATCCCAACTAAGAAGAGAACAAATACTTTGTGAATCTCTTCAAACATTGTGAATATCTGTGATCAAGGCACTTGGATCATGCTACTGCTGTGTAATGATGCAGTGTATTTAACAGGCTAGCTAGAACTCTACCTCATCCAGGCCACTGTCACCATCATTACCCCCAAAGAACATTGACAGATCCTCTGAGTCACTGTACTGCAGATAGGAGCTCTGCTTACAGGAAAACAACATTTAGATATAGTTGTTCTAAAGCAATCCCTCGGATTACTTTGAAAGATTATTTATAAGACTGTTACCTGTGATTCCTCAAAATCGTCTGAGACTGAGGGCTGAGAAATAAAAGAAGAGGGAGACTAAATGATTAAAATGTTTTATGAGCATGATGAAGCACTGTGTGGAAAGAACAGTGTAGTTTAAAGAATTTTATTCTCACCTGTAAAATATTTGAAGCGGTGCTTATCAATCCAGCCTTCTTGGAAAACTGCCACTCTGATGTCTGTGGATGAGATAAAGATGAGTAAAGATTAAAAAGTGACTTTTATGATCATTAGACATTAACAGTAACTCAGAAAGTTACTGTTCAAAGGTTTGAGGTCAGTAAGATTTTTTTTTCCTTTTTTAAAGAAATAAAAATAAAAAATTTAAGCAAGGATCCATTAAATTGATCAAAAGTGACAATAAAGACATTTCTATTGTATCAAAAGATTCCCATGTCAAATAAATGCTGTTCTTTTAAACTTTCTATTTACCAAAGAAAAAATGTCATGGTTTCCACAAAATTGTTTTTAAAATGATGATAATAAAAATATTACCAGAGGACCAAATCAGCATATCAGAATAATTTCTGATGGATAATGTGACTCTGAAGACTGGAGTAATAATGCTGAAAATTCAGCTTTGCCATCACAGGAATAAATTACATTTTAAAATATATTAAAGTAGTTAACTTATTTTAAATTACAATAATAGTTCACAATATTGCTGTTTTTACTGTATTTTTGGTCAAATAAATGAGCATAAAATTCTTGATGAGCATTAAAAGACTTTAAAAACATTTTTAAAAAAAACTAAGAACAATACTGTATACAAAGTACAATGTAAAAAGACACCAGTGGGGGGCAGTAACAAAACAATAAAACGGATCATAAAAACAACCTAAATGCACTTAGTTTTATATTTTATCATCCACTTCAGTGGCATTCATACACTGCAAGTGTGCCCAAGGGTTCAAACACTTTCTGAGGCCACTGTATATTTAGAACATTATAACAGTTTAGATTAGGGCTGCACGATAAATCGCATGCGATATTTAACGCGCATCTTATCAGTAAACCCGGTTTTGTAATCAGCGGTAAATCTCCATCACCTGCGTGCTTTCACATTGAGCAGCATTAACTACACAGAGCCGTTGTTCACTGACGAGCTGCGCTAAACCACGTTCATATTCGCGCGATTTTTTTGCACAGCTCGTCAGTGAACAACGGCTCTGTGTAGTTAATGCTGCTCAATGTGAAAGCACGCAGGTGATGGAGATTTACCGCTGATTACAGAACCGGCTTTCTGACAAGATGCACATTAAATATCGCATGCGATTTATCGTGCAGCCCTAGTTTAGATTATATTCTAGATTCTTATATTCTTACACAAATTTCCTTACATAACACAGAAAATAAATATGGCTGAAAATAAATAAAAATTACCTTTACAACCCTGTCCCTGGGGTGCATGGGGCGCAAACACTTCCGTTTGCGACATTTAACGACTTTACGAGATTGGATATTGAGTCGAAGGCGTAGCCGACCATTTCTGCAACTAACACATTTTCCACAGTCCACTGTATTTTGGCAAGCCCGGCATCGGCCACATGGAACCCACTAAGAACAAAAAATACAAATAAATGTTTTTATCTGTAAGACAACACATTACATAGAGCCAAAAAATAAATTTTAAAAATCATCAACAACAATAACATCAAAACATACCTTTTTGTAGGGTTTTCTGCGTCTTAGTATTGCTAAACCAACAGAAAAAAAAAATAATAATAATCACCATGTTATCTGAAATGCACTATTTAAAAGGAACAGCAATAGCCAAAAATAAATTTCTGTTATTACAATAAAGCTGCTTAATTGCTGACACTGACAAAATGGAAAATAAATGACTACTTTTTGACTTACTTGTGTTACCCTCTGGCCTGCAATTCTGGCACATAGTTTGTCCCTCTTCAAAAGTATAGGTTTTATGACATTTTTCACAGACACTGATTACAAACAAAAGGAACAGAGTGAAGAAAGACATTCACACCACTGTTTTTGACATTTAGGCTATAGTGTAAAAAAAAAAAAAAAAAAAAAAGGGCACTGCCTACCCAAACATTTTTTGTAGATCTCCACTGGCGCCATTGACGGGGCTATTTGGGGCCGCAGACACTGAACTGCCCAAAGGAGGAGGATTTGAATTTGCAGAATCTTCAATCAAATCAACAATAGGGCGAGTGGCAGTACTTGGTAAAGCGGTATTTGTCTCAGGACCAGTATAGGTACTGCATTTTGGCGTGGTCACTGTATTGGCACCCTTTTGGATCGAATATGAGCTCAACTTCGGAACTGTACCATAGCTGAGACTAGCTGAAGATCCTGGATTGCCGGCTGCACCACCTGTATCAGCTAATTCATTTGGAAAACCGGGTACAGAAAAGTGTGCCTGGGGAGAATCCAGTTTCCTTATCTATGGATACCAGAATGTAGGAATTAGTGGGAAATATGTGAAGAAAGTGAACAAAAAATTTAAAAGAGCATGCTGAACATCTCCTCACCTTTCTCCTTTGAAGCCCTTCACCAAGAAACTGGCCCGTTTTAAAATTAAAATTTGTGAGGTCCACAGATTGGCTTACATGTTTCACAAGCTCAACCCTACTTCTTACTTTATGACCTCTTGGACTGAAAGGAAAAAAATTAAATTAATGAGTGATGCAAAATGAAAGTCCCACATAGTAATGCTTTAGCATTACATCATTTGCTCAGCAATGGAGCCTCTGCAGTGAATGGGTGCCGTCAGAATGAGAGTCCAAACATCTGATTAAAAACATCACAATAATCCACAAGTAATCCACACGACTGCATCAATTTATGTCTTGTGAAGTGAAAAGCTGCGTGTTTGTAATAAACAAATCCATCAAGACATTTTTAACTTCAAACCATTGCTTCTGGCTAAAATACGAGTCCTCTATTCATAATATTGCTTTTTACAGTGAAAAAAGCCAGAAGAAAAGTCTTAATCAGGAGAGAAAGATGCACAGACCAAGCAAACAGTCCAAAACAGGTGTAAACAAATATGTCTGTAGATTTTGATGTGAGAGGACAAAAGCGGATGGACTTTTTCACTGGAGATAGTGTTATTATAGACTCATATTTTGGCCACAAGTGACAGTTTAAAGTTAAAATGCCTTACAAACATGCAGCTTTTAACTTCACAAGGCATTAATTGATTAACTTGATTACCGAGATGTTTTATCAGCTATTTGAACTCTCATTCTGACGGCACCCATTCAACTGCAGAGGATCTATAAGTCAGCAAGTGCTGTAATGCTAAATTTGTCCAAATCTGTTCAGATGAAAAAAACAAACTCAAGATACCTCATATAGTATGTATCACTGCGTCCTTCACTGGTGCCTGATCGACGAAAAACCTGTTTGCGTTTCCATCCTTCCCCTAACGATGGACAATCTTCCCAGCCTTCATCTGCCTCAAATTGCGTTCTCCTTCTAGGTCTCCTAGACGGGGAAAAAAAAATACACATCTGTTTTAGCTTAAACAATAAAGTAGTGAAGTGCATAAAAGGAAAAAGTATTAATTTTCTACAACTCATAAATAAAGTTTGCTGTGAGGTGTCTAGTTAGTAGAATCCAGGTCATGTACATACCCAACACCTCTGCCACCTCTTTCTCCAGCGTTTTTCCTAATACTAACCACACTCCCACTCCATTCACTCCCCGCAAGGCTCTCTAATTCTCCATCAACGCTCTGGGAATCAACATCATCACAGTCTTCTTCGAGTGGCTCCAACCAGTCACAAGGTGGTTTGTCGACGTCTTTGGAAGGCTCACCTTCCTTCTCGGTTACAGCTCCCTCTTTGTTTTCTTCTGTGACATGGTCCTGAATGTCTGTGCTTGCTGTGGACTCTTTGCTTTCCTCTGTATTTGCATCTTTGACTTCGGTTGTTGGTTCTGCAGGTACCTCGGCTGCTACTTTCTCTGTTTCCATGTTAGTAAAGCCTCCCTGTTCTTATTTCAGCTGCAAAAAGGAAATATGCAATAGTGGAGCTACACTCGGATACAGTGTTTCAAGCAGCAAACAATCCTTGTTTAGCTCTTCTGCCTTTCAGCAATGTGAATCATCTACTTTTTGTCTATCTGAAGCTCTTTCATCTTAATAAAGCTGAACTATCTGAATACTCTCTTTGCAATATGTTATGCATTCAGTTTAGACAGCTGCAACTGAGTACAACAGTAAGCTTTCTGCCTATTGTTGCTCTCCCTATAAAGACCAAACGCTTTAGCTATTAAACCACGACTTTTGATGCAGAAAATGCTGTCTAGGTAGTCAGCACACAAGGTTTTGAGACACAGCCTAACACACATTAGCGACAATACTTAGCGTAATAGCTAAAGTGTTAGCAAGCGTGAAATGATAGTAAATAACACAATTATTGAGATTTACCGAGACAGTTTGCTGTTTTTAACGGTCCTGTTAAAATAAAGTCATGAACACGACCTCGCCATTTTTAAAAACCTACCTGTAAACCCCTTAACAAACCACACATTTATATATTTTAAATACTGAAACAGAAGAGGGACCGGAAGTATTGTTGTAACCCGGAAACACGTGATTCAAGCATTCTAAATAAATTAAAGCTCCCTGCAAACGTCACACAGAGCTGGGTCGTTGTCGCGTAGCTTGATATAACGTTTACATTTTTGTTCCGTTGTACTGCTACACGATAGGTCTTTAGATATTTAACAATATAGCATATATACAATTTAATTTAAAAAAATCTGATTACAAATTACTTTATTAGCATAAACATTTGAGTAAAAAGTTGAAAAAGTAACACGATTCTCTGAATTTCGTTTTGTAGATTTTGCTTTTCATAAATAGTATCGATTATTAAAATGTATTCATTTAATTTTTCAGACTTCCTACTGTATGTATGATATATAGATCCCACTGTATGTATATATTGAAAAACCGCTATAAATACCTAGACGTGATAATAAAAAGGCACTTTATAAAAATTTTACAAGTTAACTATAGATTTGTCCAATATACTTCTATCCTCAAACTGTGGTAATTTGTCATTGGTCTTCATCAAAAACAAAAAAACATTTCTATTGTGTATTTTTATGTCTATTTTTGTTTTGTTTTGTTTAGTTTTTTTTGTCTGTGTACTGGAAGCTTCTTATACCAAGACAAAGTTCTTGTAAGCATACTTTCTTATATATCAATGTAGTTAAAATAAAAAGAACTAAAACAAAGCAAGACATCTGAGGATCACAACAAAAATTTGTTTCAATTCCATAATTAAATAATTTGAACAGCAAAATGTAAAGTAAAATGAATACATGCAGATTGAAGGAGACACATGATGAGCGTGTTTTAATAAGAATGACTTCATCCAAACTGACAAATATACAATATGAAAAGTATACAAATATAAACAAAATTTTTCAAGTCAGCACTGATTTTTGACACGGCTATCTGTCTTTGTTGCTGCGGAGGTCAGTGGTCAGTGGGTCATGCTGAATGGTCTGGTGGAGCATGAGGGCCAGGAGTCCTGCTCTGTTGGTCATGGCCGTCCTCACATTGCGTTCTTGTTCAAACAACTCATCCAGCTTGTACCACTGTTGGGAGGGGGAAATATGAGGTATATAAATATAAATTAAGACTACTATGACAATAAGTTTTGAAGAACTTGACTGACCACTCTGACGCGCTCCAGGTCCACCTCCGCCCGTCTGAGCTTCTCCCAGCAGTAATGCTTGTTGCACTTGCGTTTCGAGACCCTGCAATACTCTCCAGTCGGCTCAAACACATTACGTACTAGTGGACATCCACACACCTCATCTGCTGCGACCTGAGAAGAGAAAAACAGAAAAGAGATTTACTGAACATAAATCCTGTCATGAAGAGATGTCTGAAGACACGGTTAGCAAGTTCAGGGGTTTTTCAAACTTATCCTGGAGGCTCCCCAGCACTGCACGTTTTGTATGGACACATCCATTTCATGTCTTGCAGTCTCCGCTAATGAGCTGATGAGGTGTGTTAGATGAGAAAGCCATACAGGTTTGAAAAACCCTGGTTTAGGGGGTGTTTACACAACACCATTTTCAACTAAGAACAAAACTTTTTATGCATTTTGGCCATTCATTTACATGACAACAGCGTTTTGGGGGCCTTTTTTTCAAAACTTGTGAAAAAAAACATTTTTTTCTAAGTGCAAGCTTTTGAAAATAGCTTTTCCATGTAAACTACAAAAATACGAATTTGTAAAAACAGTGATGTCATGAGCACGCGTATTACGTGTTCAGTCAAAAGGAATGCATATGTGTGCAGGCGAATAGCGTTTCTTTACAAAGTAGCATCACCAACTACTGGTCTGGTACGCATAATACAGCCTTTTTAGTCCTTTTCGTGGATCCATGTGAATGGGAATCATTTTGACAACGTTGTCAGCTGTACACAAAACTTTTAAAAATGGCAAAGATCATGTAAATGTACCCTTAGTTTGTGCAGAAATACTGAGAGACTATCACTAAACTCTCACCTTTGGATCTCTGGAATGTTCTGGACATAAAACTTGAAGTCTCTTGCAGTATGTTTTACTCTGAGCGTTGTAAACGTCACAGAAGAGTCTTGTCGCCCTGTTAGAAGAGAGAAAGAATTAAATCTTATTTATATTTAAAAAAATAATATTCATTTTTTTTGTTTCGAGTCTTTTGAGTTGTCAAATAAAAAGAAAATCAAATGAGATGAAATACCACTTGTGAAGTATTTAATTCACTGAATATATCAACAATGAGTCATCACAGTTATTATAAAACAATAATAATAAAAAAAATTATAATAAAAATGAAAGAAGAACAAAAAAAACTTTCTTGAAATTCCAAAGAAGCAAAAAAAAAACATTTGTATTATATACATCATGCAAAATTTTGGTCAAACTGACCACCCATAAAAAAAGTAGAGAAAGTATAACAAGAAAACAAAGGATATTCAGGGTAATTCAAACAAAACTGCTGTACTGTATAGTAATGTTTCAAATATAGCCCTCTTACCCTTCTATTCTGGTTGGGAAAATGGAACCAAAAGAGGTCTGACTTTCATACTGTTAAAACATCAAATCAAGCATTAGTATAATACAAATACATTTTGTTTAATAGGATGCCATATATGACAAAAAAAAAAAAAAATAATCATTCCCTAAATCA